ACGAAGGTGGCAGATGTACACAGCTAATGTTTTTAGATTAAGGAATTTCGTTATCAAATTAACAAAGAGATTAAGTAGGGCAAAAAATCTCCATTTATCAATTACCAGGCGTTCTGCAAAATAAGTAACTCAAGCTAGAAATAAGATATTATTTATTAGAGCAAATCACATAAAAGTGGTTTGAATTGAACTAGCTATATGAATGGATTGCTGTTTTATTTTTCTAATATGTATTGCGTAAAAGAGAATTGGAACTCTGTTTAGGGATTAATGTATGAATATAAATTGCGCACCTTCCCATTAGATACCAAACATATGAACTATAAGATCAGAAATACACTTAGGAGTCGTTTCGTTTGGATGAAGTATTTGTATGAGTTATTTGGGTTCAAATAACTCACAATGAATTATTTGGACGCAAATAACTCATTTGACAGCGTGTTACTGAAATGAGTTATTTGGACAGTGAGTTATTTACAAATAACTCAAAATGAGTTATTTGAAATAACTTATATCCATGTGTTATTTCGAAATAACTCGTTTCATCACTCTGCTTTTACCAAATACCACATGTCAAATACCACATTTGCATGGTTCAACCAAACGAGATACTTTATTTCAATTACCACTGAAATAACACTGAAATATCACATGAACAATAAATGAGTTATTTGACTCTACAAATACCACATTGACAATTAACCCATCCAAACGACCCAAAAAAAAAACGTTCCGCTTCTATTGTCTAGGTATGACGTTACAAATAATCAACAATCGATGTATATTCCAAGGCTCCTCCATTACACTTAATCCATCCAAAAAGTTGCTCCACTCTATTCTTATTTCTTACTATGAATCTTTACTCTAGTTTTATATATAGCAGCAATATCTCTCTTATTAGCGCAAACAAAATTACTATTAAGGGTTATAGTTATAATATGACTCTCTACTATACATTTTTATCAAATATGTCATTTACTATTTTTTACATCAAACATGCCCTTTACTTCAGAAAAATAATCAAACATGCCCTTTTGTTAAAATTTGCATCCATAAACTGTTAACCACGGTCTAACTTTGGTTGAGTGACACAAATGTCTAAAGTATCCCTAATAATCGGGGGGATAAAATTGACATTTTCTCGCCCATTTACCGATGTCGGGTCGTCTAAACCTTGGTTCAATCGTGGTTGACGATTTTTTAATATAAATTTTAACAGAAGGACATGTTTTATCATTTTTCCAAAGTAAATAGGCATGTTTATTGATGTAAAAAATAGTAAAAGGACATGTTTGATAAAACTGCATAGTAAAATGGCATATTATACCTATAATCCTACTATTAACAATAATCTAGAGCAAACATTACATTCCAGTATGCGATAATCATTTAGTATGAATTGAAAAACGAACAACTTCTGCCTGAATTTAAAAAAATGACTCTACCCTTTTACCTCCCAAGGTAGATGGACACCAACCTGGACCCGCACTAGTTGCTGGAATTTGGAGCATGGTCCATAAAACCGTACCGTAGGTTCAACCATGAAATACCGGTATCAGAGGCTAAACCGATAGGCGGTATTTAATAGTACTAACGGTTGAACTATTACCATAAAATACCATATCGCTGACTTTCCTGGTACGATCTCCGGTACGGTTTCATGGACCATGATTTGGAGACGATTATTATATGCTACCTCAAACAAGTAGATTGAAACCAACCTGAACCCGCACTAGTATTTGAGACCATTCTTATATACTGCCTCAAACAACTGCACCTGGGATGGAGCCCAACCCTTCAATTACAGTATTGGTTATGGGCCCACCAAGCTTCCGCTGCGCCACTGTGATTAGCATGTTAATTTATGTATTCTACATTTTTTTGTAATTCATTATATTTTCCATAATCCTAAAATTTTATTCTAAGTTTATTTTTATTAATAGTAATTTTAGTATCAATGTAAAGTTGTTCCAAAAATTCATTCCATACAGTAAAAGTTGTAAACAAGATAGAGAAGGAGTTTTGCATGCCTGAGAACTCAATTGGCAGTCGTAGGAGCAACTCAATGAGAAATCCTAGAGCTACCACTAGTCGGAGGCAATCTCAGAGAACAAGACCGCCTACCACATCGATCAGAATCCAATCCTCGAGCAAGCTGGCGAATGACATCTTGAACGAGGACCATTTCATCAATTGGGCAGATCAGAGTTTTGCTAGAGAAGGATCAGAGATGTCGAGATGCTCAAAGGCCACAACGTAACTAGCTGCGCAGTATGATTTGTTACCCTTACCACTAAACCGAAAGTGCAAGATAGAGAAGGAAGGACTACCGTATCAAATTTTAGTGTGAGGCGACCAGGGTGAAGGAGGATGTAGTTCAACTTGTACTTGATAAGCATGCATTTTCTTGATATACCTTGGATGTCATACATGTCACATTATCAAATTTTGCTCATCAATCTAGTGCTATAAGTTTCAAACGACAGTTGTACAATCGAGAAAACCCGATTTGTTCAAAAGCAAAATTTTGACATCTAACATATCATGTCAATGCTAAAAAATAAAAAAAAAGTGTGTGAAACGGAATTTATCAAAAGTCATGCTTACTAACCATTTATCAACCTCCCTAATGAATTTTCTTTCTAATACTTCGTGGATGAACTAAAAATAAATTAACTAATCGTACAATGTACTCGAATGTTATACGAATCCATGAAACCAATCTATTACCTCTATTTATAGTGTTGGTTAGAAACACAGATAAAAGTACCAGACCAACTAACAAGCTACAACTTATTACCACCTTTGAGTGAGACTTCATTATTAATTGATCCAATCCAACCAAACCCACATCATCCCCTTTGTGTCCCAAAACAGCACACGGTGGCCATATAACAATGAAAGACAACATCATGTGTAGCCTATAAATATATACACACTTAAGTACGATGTACTTACCATGTAGATACTCAAAACCATTAATTAATAATTAGTGTCGTGTCCCGAACTTTCTAGGGTTAGGAACTCTATAGCTGGTGGGTTTGAAAAAATCGTGAGGGTAGTTAAGGCTGCTATAGATCTATCCCTTTCACTTCCATTCCACTTTATAAATAAGCATTTATTTATAAAGCATATCTATCAGCTGTGTAGTGAGTTTGGTGGCGAGTGCCGACTACCTAACCAGACCGGACAACTTAACTATAGACCATGATTTCCACGTTCAGCTGTTCTTCCAACTAATACCAACCATTAATATCAGGGTTAGGTGGTCACTAATTAATTGACCAAGATCATGCCATCTTTGCATGCATTGCACGAACTAATTATCAATGTCAAGTGCGGAAAGCCATCGCATTCCCAAGTTTAGGGACATATAGCTAGCTAGGGAAATTTATATCTCGATCAAAATGTTGTTGGAGATGAAAGAAAGAAGAAAAAAATTTGATTGGATCATTTCCTTATCGATCTAGGGAAAAGTATATGTTGATCAAAAAGAAGGAGATGAGCGAATGAAGCAAGGATTGAAAAATTATATCAGGGTGGTAGACTATTTTATGGTGAAATCGTAGTTTAACGATGGTTTAACCATTTCATACCGCTAAATACCATCTACAGGTTTCACTTACGGTAGAAAGTTTTTCTGATCGAACCGCCAGAACGGTACGATTTTTCAATCATTGGAAAGAAGCAATTTATTTGATGGAAAATAACTAGGGTAAATTTTCGAAACAACTGACTAAGGGATCAAAATTTGTAGTCATCATGTGACTGTATAGTAGTGACTAGTAAGTAGTTCTAATTCCTCCCCAGAAAACCATATGTATGGGCCATGTCGGGAAGCCCAAATGCTACATGAAAGTGCCACTTGCTTCTAATTCGTACTGGTTCGAGCTCGGGCCCAACTACAAACTGGACCCTTAACTTCCTGGTATGCCTTAGGGAAATCCAGAAACCAAAAAATAATGTAAACACAATTTTTGTTTTCTTGATAAACAAAATCTGAATAAAATTTATTTAGTTAGAATTTTGGCGAATTTTGAAAAAGATAACCTACTTAGTTGGGGTTAATATATTTGTATGGTTTGAACTTTGAACATAATAAACATTCTAGCCAATCTTTTCGATCTACAACATCTTGGCCCAAACTATACATCACAGTAACGACATTGGCCAACCCCGATGTTTGACCGTTATCTTGGACGGTCAAACGCTTTGACTAACGGGAATGGTTCAAAGCGGTGGCGAATGCGGCCGATGAGGGGAGGATGGATAATTGGTGTATGTTGTTGTGGTATCTCTTAATACGACCCTGGGGGGTGTATTTTTACCAAAGTCACGCAGCAATCAATCAATCCGAAGATTGATTGAACTCGAATAAAGAACAACGAGTTCTTAATACGAAATTGGGATAAAACGAAACCAACGGACAATTCCACACCTGGGGAAAGCTCGTACGGTATAAAAGGGTAGCTGCTCGACCACAATTGAAAAGAATATTCAATCGATAAAAAGCTCACAAGTTTGGAATCCACCAAACTCAAACAAGTCGCAATTTGCACCTGTATTGAAGAGGACAATGAGATACCCAATGTATATATATATATATTGGCTTAATTGCAAGTTTGGTCACTCGAATTGCTAAAAAAATTCACGTTTGCCACTCAAATTAATTTATTCCATTTATAGTCACTCTAATTAGTTGAACAGTTCAAGTTCGGTCACTCTCCGTTAATCTCCGTTAACTTTGACTGACGTGGCGGTCAACTCTCTCAGTTGACCGTTAAATATGTGACGTGGCAAATAAAAAATAATATAATAATAAATTTTAATTATTTAAAATTTACACTTCATTTTTACATACATTAATCTTTAAACGATGAAAAATAAAATAAATTTCTTTTCTTTTCTTCTTCACGTAATCCGATTTCTGAAATTCTCCGGCCTCAGATATCTCTTCCGAGGAACTTCCGTCGACGTTCCAGGTGGGGAATTGGACAAAAAAATGCAGCGTTAGCCCCCGCCGCAAGCAGGCGCAGCCAAGCTCCAGCAAAGCCAAAGCCGCCGCCACCGTCGAGACTGTCCGTCATACTACTCGACCAAGGAATGTTGACAGTCTACAAACGGCTGTTCACAGCTTGCTTAACACTCAACATCCTCGCTTTAGTCCTCGCCGCCACCGGAAACTTCCCTTACGCGAGAAACAGAGCTGCTCTGTTTTCAATAGCCAACATCTTCGCTCTAACTCTCTGCCGGAGCGAGGCCTTTCTCTGGATCATATTCTGGCTCGCCGTGAAACTTATGGGGAGATCATTTATCCCGATCCCAATCAAAATCGCCGCGACGTCGTTTCTTCAGAGCTTGGGAGGAATCCACAGCAGTTGCGGGGTTTCCTCTGTTTCCTAGCTCGTCTATCCTATGCTCTGTTTCTCACCCTGAAAAACAGAGCCGACACTTCCTCTGAAATCATAGCGATAGCATCCGCCATTCTTTCCCTTCTCGGATTCTCGTGCTTAGCAGCTTTCCCACTCGTCCGCCATCTCCACCACAATTTCTTCGATCAAGTCCATCGATTCACCGGCTGGACGTCTCTCTGCCTTCTCTGGGCGTCTATGTCACTCTCACAATCACGTACGACAGAGCAACCAAATCTTACATCAACGAATTGGGTTCGAAATTAATCAAACACCAGGAGTTTAGGTTCACGATTGTGATTTCTATTCTAATCATCATCCCTTGGCTGACCGTGAGACGGGTTCCGGTCGAGATCTCGTTGGGCCACGCCTCGTTGATCAAATTCGAAGGCAGGGTTAAACCAGGGATACTGGGGAGAATCAACCCAAAGATGTCTACCGGCGACGGGAAAAGAAGGCAATTCGACGGGTTGCCGGAGGAACTGACGACCCAAATGCTGTCCAAGCTGCCGACACCCTCCGCCGTCTGCCGAAGCCGCTGCGTCAGCAAATCTTGGCGGCGCATCCTTTCCGACCCCGAAATCATCAAGAAATCCATCACGTCGCCGCTGCCATACGCAGCCAGGGTCATGATTTCCCACTCCGCTTCGTACACCATCCGCTCCTCCGACATTTGGTTGAGAAGATAGGTTGGGTTTTGTTCTTCTGAATCCGCCACCGGCGGTGGGTTTCAAATTTGAAGAGAGAAGGGAAAAGGGAGAGTGTTGACGGCGGAGGTTGGCGGGGATGGCGGTGGATGATGGGGTGAGTGGAAGAGAAGCCGATGGCGTTGTTTGTGATTTTTTTTTGTTTTAATTATTTTTAATTTATTGTAATAATGAGGTGGAAATTATTAAAAATTAAATTTTATTTTTTTATTAATTTTTTAATTGCCACGTCACTCATTTAACGGTCAACTATAAGAGTTGACCGCCACATCAGTAAAAGTTAACGGAGACTAACGGCCAGTGACCAAACTTGAACTGTTAACCTAATCTAAGTGACTACGGATGAAATAAAGTAATTCTAGTGGCTAACGTGAATTTTGCTAGTAATTCAAGTGACCAATCTTGCAATTTAGCCTATATATATTTATGCAGCGAGAGTAGAAAATGGGTGTACGTACCGCCATAAGGGCTTCCTTTGGGAGGGGCAGTGTATTGGTTAGCAGGGGGCCCATAAGGTTCCTCTTCTGCACCTTCACAACACAACATAATCACCTTTCTGCTGCTTAATTAATTATGACTGTGGGCAAGTAAAATCAAATATTATGAACATAATCCAATGTGCAAATTTCTATGAAAATCAAGACATCCTCAATTTCGTTATCAGAAGAACCAGCATTGACAAAGAAAAATTGCAAGTGGTGAGTAGAGGATCCTTCCTTCTGGTTTGTGAAAGCTAGCTAGGTTGAAATTGAAGCGTTGATCCAAAAAGAAGGGCTTTGAGAGGATTGATGATGGATAAGATGAATGACCCAGAAAGGATTTAAATTCCAATGAGATTGGTGAATGAGAAGAAGATTGAAAACGATTATAGGAAAAGACAAGAATTCTTGTAAAATGTTCTTCTTCGTTCTCTCTCTCTCATTTTTTTTTTTTTTTTTTTTTTTATGTCTTGGCGTCAATGGTGCTTGATGATTTTGTTGTTAGGTTGGGAAGGAAGCGGAGGAACGGTAAGGTGGGCGGGCGGGCTCTCTCCCCTTCGCTTTCCCTATACGTTATTACTCTCTCTCTCTCTCTCCCTTTACTCTCTTCTCTTCCCTTTTCCCTACACCTCTTTCTGTCTGTGTCTCTCTATAATTTACTATAATTCAGGTGGTGTCTCAAAAATGATATCTATGTTTTAGCAGCAACTAGCAGGTAAGGTAAGACCAACAATCTTACCCAACTCTGCAGTTTCGGAGATAAAAGTTCGACCTAGGGATTCTTAATTCGGGCTCGTTTTGGTTGGATAACAACCTTACACGTTCCTGGGTCTTCTTTGAACGTGTTGATGAAGGCCACCTGCTTCGAATCACCTCCATACGCCACGACCAAATCATCTATTTCAGAACTCTGTTCCGCCGAAAAGTGGCAGAGCTTCTGAGTTCTTGTCAACGGAGGTATTCGATCACCTACATTCAGTTCAGGCGCTTCCTTTCGACTCGTCGTCATTTTTTTTAGACCCTATGGACTCGTCTGGTGCCTCGTTATGCTCGGATTCTCCTTCGTCGTCATCGACAGAGCTGCCGAAGTCAGTACTCTGCTTTTTCAAAGCAAAACAGGGGTCGGGAGTTCCAGTTGATTCCGACTCTTGAGCTTCCTTTCGGAGCTTCAACATGCTCATAAAATTGAAGTCAACTCGTCTCTGAACCCACAATTGAGCCTGAGAGCCTTTTCCCGAAGCTCGATTCGACTCCAATTGCTTTTGATCTTTGTAAACTTCATCCAGAGAAAGGCGTTTTAACACAAACTTCTTACCTTGGTGCTTAAACTTGTAACAATTCGTCCATCCTTCATGGGTAACCTTCCGATCGAATTGCCAAGGACGACCAAGCAATACGTGAGCTGTATGCATTGGTGCAATGTCACACAACACCTCGTCCTCGTACTGTCCGAGATTAAAACAAACTAAAACTTTGTTTTGTCACGTTGATTGTCCCGTGTTCGTTGATCCAACTAAGTTGGTAAGGTTGGGGATGTCTTTGTGTTGTCAATCCAAGCTTCTTGACGGCGTCTAAACTAACGAGGTTTGCACAGCTGCTCCATCGATTACTAACGACTCCAATTTACCTTCAATGAAACAGCAGTTGTGAAATAGGTTGTCCCGCTGCTCGTCGGACTCTCTATGCTTGATGACTTCTGCTGGCTGTTTCTTTTGGCCTTGAACTCGTGCTTGCTGCTCCTTGGTACTGCCCTCTACCAACTTCTTTGCTCGAAGGGAGTTTTCCATCGCGATTGCACACGAAACAACAGCTGCAAGATACTTACAGGGGCTTCCCTGTTTTGAACACGAATTCTGCTTTGATATAGTGAATTGCTTCTTCTCCTTCACCCTTGTGTAGGACCGGGCTCTGATACCACTTAATACTACCCTGGGGGTATATTTTTACCAAAGTCACGCAACAATCAATCAATCCGAAGATTGATTGAACTCGAATAAAGAACAACGAGTTCTTAATACGGAACCAACGGACAATTCCACACCTGGGGAAAGCTCGTACGGTATAAAAGGGTAGCTGCTCGACCACAATTGAAGAGGATATTCAATCGATAAAAAGCTCACAAGTTTGGAATCCACCAAACTCAAACAAGTCGCAACTTGCACAAAACCAAGAGGTTTGTTTTTCGATCAATCAAAGTCTTGTATTTTTACAACGAAAACTAGAAGGTATTTAAAGGAAAATAAACCTAATACAATCCTAATAGAACTAGGAAACAATTAAGGTAAAAGTCTACACTAAAAAGGACACAAAATTCGCCCATAAACTCCTTTTCTTCAAGCGCAAGTAAGCTACCAGCAAACAGTTCAAAAGCATCTTTCGTACTAACTTCGCGCCTTTCGTTCGGGGCCTTCCAGAACTCCAATTCTTCATCCCGTTCCTTCCCTTTGTTCACAAACATACCTAGTTTCATGTTGTGGAAGCCTTTTGACTTGAATCCCATTCATGCTCGTTGAATTAAGCTCCAAAGTAGGCTTCACAAAACAGTTTTCTGCCTTAGCCATTTTCAGGCAGTTTTCCAGTTTTGAGGTAGCAACTTCGAGGCCTTGGAAAACAACCTTTATTACATCTTCTAGAAGTATACCATTGGAAACATGGCAACTTTATATTTAAAACAAGCCCTTGATCTCCAATTTTCATTGAGCCATTTGGAAGATACAAGCATCCAAAGTAGGCTACCTGAAAGTGTTTCAACACTTAGCCAAAAATCATAATTCTTCAAGTGAGTTGAGATGACTTCTTTGGCAAGTAATTGTGAATTGATCCAATTGGGATCATATCATCTCTGGAAGGAAAGAAACGCCCAATTATTCAATGGGGCCAAACTAGTCGAAGAGGAGATACCCTTGCCGGCAAAGTATATGCTTGCAGACTATCAGCAATATCAGGGGAAGGAGGAGGTTCCGGTTAGGCTGGTGAGGCAGAGTGGATGGCAGCGGTCAGAAAGTGGGAAATCATCAGTGTGTACTGATGCGGGATTCTTGATTCAGGTGGGGTGGGCTAGGGATGACAATAGGTCGGGTTGGCGGCGGATAGTGCTTATCCATTAACCTACCCAAAGTAGTTTCGGTTTTACCCTTACCCATACCCACATAAGAAATGGGTAGAAAATCAAAACCATGCCAATACCCGTTCGGGTTTCGGGTATCCACGGTTATCCATGGATAATAATTTCTCTTTATAACTTCAACCAATATGTTAACATTCACACGTATTCTTACATTACATAAGAGGAAAAGTACGATAATAATTCACTAGAATGAAGAAAATTAATTAAAACAACATAATTTCATGAAAATACAATATTTATATGCTTAATATAAAATATGTTAGAGAAAAATGATGATTATTTTTAGACAAAATACATATGCATGTGTATAATCGGGTGAGTTCGGGTTGGATAGTGAGAAATCTATATCCACCCATTACCCACAATATTCGGGTTCGGGTTTTACCCGTACCCACTAATAGTATTTCGGGTTTGGGTTTTACCCTACCCGACTAGATCGGATTCGGGCGGATATGCACGATTACGGATATTTTTGTCATCCCTAGGGTGGGCCTTGGAGCGGTGACCAGAGACTCGAATGGGGCATTTAAGGTGGCCGCAGCGAAGAATATTCCAGGGGTGTGGGAGGTAGAAGAAGCAGAAGCACTTGCGGCGGAGATGGGATCCAGTTGGCTAACCAACTCGCTTTCTCCAACATGGTGTTGGAAACAGACTGCCTTTCCATTATTCAAAGGCTGAAAAATCTTGTTGTAGCTAGTGATGAAGTGGCAGTGGTTTGCCGGAGCATCCGGCGCAAACTAGAAACAACAGGAGCCTACGCGTTTAGACACATTCGGCGGGAAGGAAACAAAGCAGCACATATGATGGCTCATGCGTAGACTCAATGGAATGAAAGGGAGGTTTGGATCGATCGACCTCCGGTCTATTTAGTTGATAAGTTACAGTTGGATAATGTAACCATAGTTACTGGTTAATAAAGATGAAAGCAGATTTCCGTAAAAAAATGGATGTGTATGTTTCAAAATTGGAAATTTAGCCTTCAAACACCAAAGCAACGCTCGATAAATATTGCACATGTATAAATGATAATACTTGAAAAGTTTATTTGAGTTTTATTGTTTCGGCCTAACTATCTCATTTATTGTCATGTGGTTTTCTCTAATGAAAAGAAAACAATAATTGAACACGTTTCTCATTTATTGTCATGTGGGATTTGTCTAAGATGTTACAATATTTGTTTTTTTTTTGTTGGTACAACAAAAAATAAAATGACAAGTGAACAGGGCATGATATTTCCCCTCTTAGGGCTATGCCACGATTTGGTCTGGACAGCACCAAATCAAACCGATGCATGGATTGTGCCATACAAAATCAAATATAATGTGGTCCGGTCTTTGGTCCCATGAATTCAAAGTTCAAGAAGGCGCTAGGCAGTCGTTGGGGCACTGCCTAGCACCCCTAGGCATTTTTAGTAAAAATAGCGATTTTAGTAGAAATAACAATTTTATAGCACTTACTTTACTTCAATGTCAAATGATTAATAACTTAACTAATCCTCAACAATAATCAAAATATGGCATGACCTAGAATTGCAATTCCAAATCGATGAATGAGTGAAGGATGCGTTGAATATAAAGCAGCTGGAGATGGCATCCTTTTGGGATGATTAGCTACAATTTTTCTAATCGTTGGTATGTTAGTGCAATTAATTGTGTCTCACTTTGATTGATCATGCCTTACACCAGCTAATCATCACTAGTTTTGTCTAAGTGTCACTTTGGCATTATAAATGTATAACTGCCTGCTTTGGACCTAGAAGAGGTGTTTTGTCATTGCCTAATACCTAAGGGTACGCGAATTTTTATTTATTTATAAGGATGCTATCATCTTATTAATAAAATTGAAAAAATGAAAAAGTTACAAGACATACGGGTATCCCCTGCAGCATGATCACAGAAGAACAAGCTACACAAGAACATAACACCAAACAGGATCCTTCGAACGTGTACGCAAAATTACGCATTTTTAAACCCTGCATGAATTTTATAAATACTGAAAAAATTGAATTAAGTTGACATTTGAACAAGACTAAACCTAATACAATATTGTTTCGGTCTTAAAATGTCTTTCACTATTATACGGCCATTTTCATGAGTTCGGTCTGATTTGGACCATTGAGTGCACCCTGCCCCTGCCCAACGTACAGAAATTTTATTTTTATCTGATGATTATAAAAAAAAAAAAATTATCTGAAGTACTGATGTAGTAAACCCATCAAATCAGCGGTTGAAAGGGGAAAGCTGATAAAACACACCTGATAACTTATATGCAACAAAAACATATTTGGACTAGATGAGACAAGTGTATGTGTGTCTCGAAGATTACTACCATTCCTTGCTCATTCAACTAGTACCCAAGCCAAACATGAATTCCTACCAAAACTCAGCTCAAGCTCATTTCCAGCAGACAGAAAGAGCTATTGAGACTTCAGAAAGCACAAGGAAGATCTGAGATGCAGCAAAAATGCAAAATGAAGCTAGCTTTCAACATTCTCTGAAACTACACAGAATTAAGCTCAATAGGGATGGCATTGGGTATGAAAAAAACGGGCATAGCCCGCACCCGCCCGGGACAAACCCGCAAAGAAACCCGCCAGGTCCGGATTGCGGTCGGGGACGGGGAAACCCGCTAATTGAGTGACAACGAGGATGGGTCGGGGTCGGATCTAATACTATCCGCCCCGGCCCCGTCCGATATTGCATACGACGTCGTTTTCCTCTCTTCAAATATAGCATTGCAACGCATGCAACAACCAGAAACCCATCACCAATAAACTTTCCCCAAAATCCAAACTCTCTTCTCTCAGAAATCCAGCATCGCGATTATTGCGACGCCGATTTTCCATACTCTATCACGATTCACGCGCGGTGAGTCCTTCTATCTTCCGTTCTTCCTGCCAATCGTTCGTTTTTCTAGCCTCGATTACACCTCACCACCAATCAGCCATCATGAAAACCCTAGAATCTCTCTCTCAAACAGCCATCAAATTAGCCAATTGCCCAATCGGAAGAACAACTCTTCGATTTTCCCTACTGATGGGTTTGGGAGAATTGAATTGGATGATTCTGTCCTTTGCTGGCTTCACGCCATTAACCCTACTCTTAGGCTATAAATATGACCTTAAACAACACTTGAGGGCACACTTCCAGACTTCCTTCACAAATCCAATCATCTGTTCATCGAGTTTTCTTCACCTGCAAACTGCAGTATCGCACGTTTTCTTGATCTGGTGAGTTTTCTGCTTTTCCCTTACTTGCCTTGTTAATTTTTCGTGTAATTTTCTGTTAGATTATTAGGGTTCTAATGATTTGTGTCCTAATATGTACAAGGTACCATGGAGAGTATTCAAAACTTTGGTGGAGCTCCTGTTGCTGCTGCTGTTGGAGCAAATGGTGTTGTTTCTCAACTTGCTGCTGCACCTGAAGCTGTTCTGGCACCTCAAGTTGCTGCTGCTGGAGCCCAGGTTGCTGCTGCTGGAGCACCTCAGGGTGGTGTTATCAATGACGACAATGGTAATGGTGATGATGTGATTGATTCTAGCAGGCTAAAATCTGTAGTTTGGAATCACTTTACCAGGATTAAAGTGAACAATGAGCTTAAGGCTAAATGCAAATACTGTCGAAAGCTACTATGTGGAGAATCAAAAGATGGTACTTCGCATTTGAAAAGCCATATGAGAACTTGTTTACAAAAAAGAATTGGGGATAGAACTCAGAAGGTTCTTGGTGCTAACTATGCCCCAATTGGAAGGAGGGATTTGGTAGTTAGTGCATATAATTCTGATGTTTGTAGGAGGGAGCTTGCTGCTGCTATCTTGATACACGAGTATCCACTTTCAATGGTGGAACACTTGTATTTCAAGAGGTTTGTTTGTTCTCTACAGCCGCTCTTTACTGTTCCATGTCGCAATACTATCAGGAAAGACATTTTCAAATTATATAAGTCTGAACGTATTAAGGTTCAGAAGGTTATTGATGACAATAAGGGAAGAGTGGCACTCACAACTGATATGTGGACAGCTTCCACTCAAAAGAAGAGTTATATGGCTGTAACTGCACACTACATTGACAATTCTTGGAATCTCAGAAGCCATATGTTAAGGTAAAGCTTTCAAGATGGTTTATATAAAGTTTTCAATTTGCTGCCTTGCTTTGTATATAAGGTTGAATTCCCAATCCGATTATCTCATATTGTTCTAATGCAACTTCATTTGCTGCCTTGTTTTGTAGTTTCATGTATGTCCCTGCACCACATACAAGTGAGCGGTTAGCCACAATCATGGCTGAGTGCATGATGGATTGGAATGTCGATTCAAAGGTATCGACTTTGATAATTGCAGTACGAATGGCTCAATGATTGACAAAATTAGGCAAAAGCTTATGCTGCCATACTTGATGTCGGATGGTTCAATGTTGCACATGAGATGCTCTGCTCATATCTTGAACTTAATTGTCAAAGATGGGTTATCAATCTTGAAAGATGGGATAGAAAGGATTAGAGAATCTGTTGTGTATTGGTCTGCAACTCCGAAGAGAAAAGAATTCTTTGAAGAAACTGCAAGGCAATTAAGGGTTAGTTGTGAAAAACATCTAGTGCTTGACTGTCCTACTAGATGGAATTCAACATTCCACATGCTTGCAGCTGCTTTGCCTTATAGAGATGTGTTCTCTCGTCTTAAACAAAGGGATTCTCAGTATACTTGCTTGCCTACCCCTGTTGATTGGCAGTTCTCATCTATTGTGTGTTCAAAGCTGGAAATTTTCAGTGTTATATCTGATCTATTTTCCGGAACAAAATATCCTACTGCCAATCTGTTCTTCACTCGGGTTTGTGACTTGAAATTGAAAATCAATGAGTGGCTTCTTGATTCTGATGTGGTCATCCATGAAATGGCTGTTTCAATGTGGATGAAATTTAAGAAGTATTGGGAAGATATCCATGAACTGTTGGCTGTTGCAATTGTACTCGATACAAGGTACAAGCTGGAAATTATCACTTATTATGCTACTAAATTTGGTAGTGCTGATATTGAATGTTCACTGGATTATGATAAGATTAAGGATATCTTGGTTGATTTGCTTCGTGAATACAAAACAAGGAGGGAGATGGATTCTCCTACTGCTGGAAATGCTAATCCAGAAGTTATGCAATCTGGAATTGACTTGGATTTTGAGTTGTATGTGAGTCAAAGGAAGAAATCCAAAACAGTTGCTTACCAAAGTGAATTGGATCGATATTTGAGTGAGGATGTGATTCCTCTTTCTGCTGAATTTGATATATTGACTTGGTGGAGGCAAAATGGCATCAAATATCCTGTGTTGCAAGAAATTGCAAGAGATGTTCTTGCTGTTCCTGTAACTTCAGTAGCATCTGAAAGTGCTTTCAGTTCTGGGGGAAGACTTTTAGACCCTCACCATAGTAGATTACTACCTACTACTGTTGAGGCTATGATGTGTGCAAGGAGTTGGCTGCAAACTGAGGTGAACAAAGGTAACAAAAAAGCTCATTCAAAATGTGAAATCTTATTCAAATGCATAAAACAGTGTATTCCAATATTTACTTATTTCTTCATTTGTGTTTCAGATAATGTTAATTCTGTGACTACTTTGGAAGGGTGTTTCACTATGTTGAATCTGGGTGGAGATGAGATTGAGACTGAAAATGATTTGGCAGGTAATGATTTTATTTGTTACTACGATTAATTGCTCGGTTAAGTTTCAATGGAATAATAATTGGGATTCTTTTCTTTATCTTGGGCAGAAGATACAAATGGGATTGAGAGGCCTTATCTTGATTGAGCTTGACTAGGATTGCTGGGAACTTGCTGTTGCCTGTTGCTGTGTTGTGTTGTTGCTACCGTGATTCATTGTTGGTGCTGCTGTGTGTTTCTGATGGAGTTCTGCTGCTGGAGTGCTAGTCTGTTGCTGCTGGAGTGCTGGTCTGCTGCTGCTTGCTACTGGTCTGCTGGTTTATTCATGTTTTTGTTGGTCTGTTGCTGTTGGAGTGCTACTGGTATGCTGGTCTACTGCTGCTGGAGACCTGGAGTGTTGCTGCTGGTCTGTTCGTGTTGCTGCTGCTTTATTTTGCTTACTTTTAATGTTGTTTGATTGTTGAGAGTAGACTTTCATGGATGTTGATGGATGATGGATCATGGATGTTGTTTTGATGGATCATGGTTATAACTTAGAAGTTTGAACGATGCAGTTTGCTAGTTTCAATTTCAATGAAGTTCAATGGTTTTCTTTCAGTTTCATTATGGTTTTCAATTTTTAATTTTTATGTGTGTAGCGGGTAAAACCCGACCAACCGGGTAATATCCAAACCCGGACGGATACGGGGATGGATAGTGATTTAGTATCCATTGGCCATTCCGGACGGGTACGGGTAATACCCGTTTATAACTACGGGCGGGGCTCGGGGAGCTACTACCCGGCCCCATACCCACCCGTTGCCATGCCTGAAGCTCAAGATTGAAGCGCATCTTCGACTGCCAGTTGGGTTGCCATGAGAACTTCAAATGAAGGACACAGACCATTCATTCTTCAAGAGTGCAGAAAATAAAGGAAGTTCTATATTCTTCTAGGGTAGGAAGGAGAAAAGGTTCTTCGAGATTGAGGCCTCGAGTTTACATCAGAAATCATTGTCAGCCATCCCTAGCAGAAAGGAGCCAGGCTCGCTGGATCCAAGCATTGGCATGTACTCCGATCCCCTTACATGGACACTAAAGCAAGCTGCAGCACACAGGAAAATAGTAGATCCTGTAAGAGGACTTTTCTATTCTTGTTTAATGAACAACATACTACCAGCAAGTGCATTAGCTACAAAAACCAGACCCAGAAAAAGGTCTCTAGTATAAGATGTTGGCCATTAGCTTCAAACCAGTATGCGCATCTTGGTAAGATATATGAATATGATTAGCCACCACCAATGCAGTCAAAAGCGAGTTTTTACATAGAAATGTTTTGGTGATCTAGAAGCGTAAAATCGTAAGTCTTTAAGATTTAAAACGGAGTTTTTAACTGCATAAGTTATAAAAATTGAGATTTTGTGTAGAAGCGTTATAGTGACCTGGAAACGTAAAATCGTAAGTTTTTAAGTTTTAAAGCGCGATTTTGACTACATTGGCCACCACAGAAACGTCAGCACAGAATATGTTCAGAATACACATGTATATATTGATTACCATTCTCGATCTTGATCACACTTTGAAGCATGGTGTCCATCTTCTGTTTCATGTCCGAACTATCATCCATATGTGGTACGATCAGGGTCAAGTCCCTGTAGATTTCACGCACAAAGCGACATATCTTCTCAGCATAATCAAGCTCACCATCTGATATACGGCCAATTGCCATCCGCATCAACTCACCCGTCAAATCTGCAAGCTGCCACAAGCACCATTTTGGATGCAAATCAAATTCCAGATATTTGCCATTTCCAAACTCGCAAGCTCTATCAATTAGCACGAACTATCAATATGCAAAACGCTATACCCCTAAGAGATAATCAAGAACGTTGATTTGCAACGGCTCAAGGGCCGGATCATTCAGTGGCAAGAGAGTGGCATTCATCTCATCCAAATTAAGCAGAGTCCCATTTCTGCAAAAGTTACAGAAAGTAGCTGCTTCAACGTATTCTTGAATCTGCAAAAAGAGCTAACAAATCAGCTATTGACTAGAACCTACACATTTCAGCCATTTCAGCGAGCAAGCAAACAACACAAACTTGAATGGCTTACACCAGGAGAATAAGCTCGCCTTAGCTTCCAGAAATCAGTGCCTTGCAACTCTTTCACCAATTTGGAAACGTACTGTTGAGTTACATTAGCTAAATCCTTCTGGGCCTTATCCAGAACTTCATCCCTGTTGTGTTTGCTCATTCTGTGAACTTGGAATATAACCTTTTTGCTGTTCATGGTTATGTCCCGGCTTGCCTTCACTATTCTTTCCCTTTTCTCATTCTAACACAGACCAAATCAAAACAAAACTAAATTCATAACTAGGGTTTTAACAAAATGGGGGAAAAACCCCTTCAGTCCAAGCATTCAACCGAGAAGAGAAGATGGGGGAACTTTACAAGGTTATTGAGATATTCGGCGTATTTGGCAAATGGGTCTTTGATGGAAGACTCCGAGGCTGTCATCGAGCACATCGCTCTCGCCTTCTTCGCTGGGTTCCCTGCAACTGAAGCGACAGGCGTTTAAGCTTTTTTTACAGTGAGAACTCAGAACCTATGAAATTGGGTCGAGTAAGAAGAAGCAAACAATCGCGAAAGTCGAGACGAGCCCTTCAGTTTCCCAATTCGAAAGAAAATAATGGCGAAAAATGGTACTTAACGTTGAGGCATAATGTGCGTTCTAGGTTTAGAAGCCATGAGAGCGATCTTCTGCAACGTGTTGTTGTAAGCGCTAAACATCAAAATCTTGTGGGTTTCCCTGCGACCCCGGCGCCCTAAAAGGCTAAAACCCACACACAGCTAACATTTTGGAGAACTGGCCCATCTACGTTTTGAAGTTAAGGGGTCGTTTGGAAGTTGCGTATGTTAAATCGTTGTATTGTTATGAATCACTATGATATAAATGTATGCATTGATACAATAGATGCATTTTGAAATTACATTGTTTGGTTGTTGAGATTATAATTTATGAATTGATTGTTATAAAGTTACTTTATAAGGAAATGTCATATTTGTCCTCCACTTTTAATATAAAACAAAAAGAACTATGGACATTATTGGAAAAGGTAGAGGTGCTCAATTATTAAACCAACAATCACAACAATCTCAACTTTTAGTTGAGATTGTACAATCCCTCATTTTTGTTGATTGTTGGTGGGACCCACACTAAACAATACATGCATTGTTTTGCAACTTGACACTTCCAAACATTGCATTTGTAGACAATGCATGTATTTAACAAATACAACACTAACAATCGCAACTTCCAAACGACCCCTAAGTTGCACGATTGACGCTGTGGCTTATCGATGTCACTTTATTCCCACAAACAGAGGGTCTTCGGTTCGAACTAGCGCATGGCTATAATTACAACAACGCAACAGCACGGCCGCCATGGAAAGTTTTCGGAGAAAGTAGGGACTAGGGAGCAAGCAGAGAGAGCCGAATAAGACCCAATGGCCAATGGGCGCTGTTACGCGGAAGATTCTAGAGCATTCTAGAACGATGCAAGTACGTGCATGCATCTTCCGATTCATGCACCTATGTACATGCATCCCCCTTTTTCTATCTTTATTCATGTATCTCATTAATTACATTCATGTATGGGGCTGGTTCATGTATGGGGGGACTATCTAGGTTCGTTCATTTATGACGGCCATGTACATTGTACTTAGTGGAGAGGATGCCTATATAAGCAGCCCTCTCCACCACTTTTCATTCATCCAGAAATTGAGAGATTTCCATCTATAGAGTTTTCTCTAACACTTGTGAGTTTGAGTGAATACGAGCAAGGCTGACTTAGCGCTCTAACGAGACTTGAGTGCTAAGTGCCGCACGGCCAAGAGTTGGTTCGTGACAAGTGGTATCAGAGCCAAGGTCGTAGCTCATCAAGTGAGAAAGAACCTCGAGGAGATGGCTGGATCCGGAAGCGAAGTTCTCAACAATGAGGAACATCGCGGTCGTGAGGAGAAGAAGGATCCAAATGCAAGGAAGAATCGTGGTGGATCAACTCGAGAGCCTTTGGTGGCGATCGAGGAGAGGCTCAAGAAAGCGGAGACGAAGATTGCCAAGCATACATCCTTGTTCGAGGACATGGAGTCGAAATTCGATCAAGTCAGCGGAGTGGTGCAGACTTCGAAGGACGACATGCAAGGCATGGGCACTCGAATGTCAGGCTTGGAGGTGGGATTGGAAGCATTCAGAGACGAGTTTGTGACCATCATCACCAACGCCATCGACGCCTTGAGGGAGACAGTTCGAGGCCAGCTTGACGAAGCAAAGGAAGAATTTGACGAGCTTCGAGGAGAGCTCAATCTCGTCAAAAGAGCCGTGGCTAACGGGCCTGCCGCGACTCAATCCGCACCACGAGTAGATGTTCCAAGGCCTAAAAACTTCGGTGGGTCGAGGAATGCGAGGGAATTAGAGAATTTCCTCTGGAGCCTAGAACAATATTTCAAGGCTTCGGGCATCAATGATGATGAAGTCATGGTGCGTACTGCCTCCCTCTACTTGGTCGACACGGCCATGGTTTGGTGGAGAAGGAAGCAAGGTGATATCGAGAGAGGCACATGTGCGATGGACACATGGGAGGATTTCCGTCGGGAAATCAAGAGACAATTCTACCCGGAGAATGTCGAAATGGAGGCTCGTGCAAAGCTTCGACGACTCACCCACACCGGCGGAATTCGTGACTATGTCAAGGAATTCTCGGAATTGCTACTCGAGATCCCCGATCTGCCGGATAAGGAAGCTTTGTTTAACTTCCTTTTCGGATTGCAACCCTGGGCGAAGTTGGAGCTCGAGAGGCGTGGAGTGCAAGATCTTGCTACTGCCTTAGCAACGGCAGAGGCTCTCACGGAGTACAAGAAGAGTGAGCGGCCGAGCGAGTCGAAGAACTCGAAGGGCAAAGGAGGAGATCATCGGCAGCACTCCAAAGAAGGAAGAGGCTCGTACCAACATGGAGGCTCAAGCAAGGGAGCAAGGTCTGGTAACTTTGACAAACCCATGTCTTGTTTCCTTTGCAACGGCCCACATAAGGTGCGAGATTGCCCAAAGAAGAGCAAGCTAGCAGCCTTGGAGAAACAAGAAGGGGAGACCAAGGAGAATGCTAGGGAAGACGAAGGGAAGATAGGCTCCATGCGGAGACTAGGCGCGGCGAAGTCCGGCGCCAACGAAGTTAGCAAAGGGAGATTCTTTGTAATCACCCAATTCGAAGGAGGCGAGTCAAAAGCATTGGTTGACACCGGTGCGACCGACAACTTCCTTCGAGTGGAGGAGGCGGAGCGCTTGGGGATCGCTTACGAGAAGAGGCAAGGATCGCTCAAGACCGTCAACTCGGAGGCAATACCCATCCATGGCGTTGCTAGGAACGTGCCATTGAAGATCGAAGGATGGGAAGGTGTTGCCGACTTCAGCGTCATCACCATGGATGATCATCCGGTCATTCTTGGCGTCAATTTCATGGAGAAGGAGGGCGCGGTGATGGCAATGAGTTCCAACACTCTTTGCCTTGACAAGGGTGACAAGTTTTGCGCGGTGAAGATGTTGCGCGAAGAAGGGCCGAAAAGAGCTTTATCGGCCATGCAGTTGGTGAAGGGAATGAAGAGGAATGAACCCACGTTCCTTGTCACTTTGCGTGCGAAGGAAGAAGGAGGCTCGGTGGCGTCAACACCTCTCATCGAGGGCGTGTTGGAGGAGTTCGTAGATGTGATGCCAAAAGAACTACCAAAGAAGCTCCCGCCAAGAAGAGAAGTCGATCACAAGATCGAGCTTGAGCAAGGGGCGACGCCACCATCACGAGCACCTTATCGCATGGCTCCTCCCGAGTTGGAGGAATTGCGGAAGCAACTCAAGGAGTTGTTGGATGCTGGCTTCATCCAATCCTCGAAATCACCCTATGGAGCACCCGTTTTGTTCCAGAAGAAGAAAGACGGATCGTTGCGGATGTGCATCGATTATCGAGCTATTAACAAGCTCACGGTGAAGAACAAGTGGCCCATCCCCAATATTGGCGACTTGTTCGATCAACTCGGAGAAGCAAAGTGGTTCACGAAGCTCGATCTTCGCTCGGGGTACTACCAAGTGAGAATCGCCGAGGGGGACGAGGCAAAGACTGCTTGCGTCACGAGGTATGGCTCATACGAGTTCCTTGTTATGCCTTTTGGACTAACAAACGCTCCTGCTACTTTTTGCACCTTGATGAACCAAGTTTTCGAGCCGTTCTTGGATCGCTTCGTGGTGGTGTACTTGGATGACATCGTGGTGTACAGCAACACACTCGATGAGCATGCCGAGCACTTGCGACAAGTGTTTCAAGTCCTTCGAGACAACGAGCTCTACGTCAAGAAGGAGAAGTGCACGTTTGCAGCAGCGGAGGTTCCTTTCCTCGGCCACATCATTGGCGGAGGCAAGCTAAAAATGGACGAGGCCAAGGTGGAGGCGATACAAGGATGGGAGCCACCAACGAGGGTCACCGAGTTGCGATCATTCCTCGGCCTGGCCAACTATTATAGGAGATTCATCAAGGGATACTCCGCTCTTGCAGCACCCTTGACGGATCTTCTAAAGAAGAACAGGGCTTGGGAATGGTCGGATCGGTGCCGCGAAGCATTTGAAGCCTTAAAGGATGCGGTGACGAAGGAGCCAGTGCTAGCACTTCCCGATCCAACCAAGGCGTACGAAGTGCAGACGGATGCTTCCGATTTTGCAATCGGTGGGGTGTTGATGCAAGAAGGGCACCCAATTGCTTTTGAGAGCCGCAAGCTCAATGAGGCAGAGAGGAGATATGCGGTGCAAGAGAAGGAGATGACGGCGGTGGTCCATTGTTTGAGAACGTGGAGGCACTACTTGCTTGGGTCGAAGTTCGTTGTAAAGACGGACAATGTGGCGACGAGTTACTTCCTCACACAGAAGAAGCTCTCGCCCAAGCAAGCAAGGTGGCAAGACTTCCTCGCGGAGTTCGACTTTGTGCTGGAGTACAAGCCGGGGAAAGCCAACTTTGTTGCCGACGCTCTTAGCCGAAAGAGCGCACTTGCCGCCATCAGCCAGCCGCAATTTCCCTTGAAGGAGAGGATTGAAGAAGGCCTTAGCCACGACCCCTTCGCCAAAACCGTGGTCGAGTACATCAAACAAGGGAAGACTCGGCGGTTTTGGATGAAAGGCGGACTCATCGTGACTAAGGGGGAGCGTGTGTTCGTGCCGCGGTGGGACAACCTACGAAGGGAGATCATGAAGGAGTGCCACGACTCCAAGTGGGCTGGTCATCCCGGCATTGAGCGCACACAAGCTCTCATCGAGGAGGCTTACTATTGGCCTCGTATGAAGGACGACGTGGAACTCTACGTCAAGACTTGTCTTGTTTGCCAGCAAGACAAGATGGAGCAGCGGAGTCCGGCGGGCTTGTTGGAGCCATTACCCACTCCACAACGGCCTTGGGAAAGCGTGAGCATGGATTTCATCATCGGCCTTCCCAAAGTCGAAGGGTGTGGTTCCATCATGGTCGTCGTCGACAGATTTTCGAAGTATGGCGTCTTCATCGCGGGGCCCAAAGACATGACGGCCGAGGATGCAGCCCGCTTGTTTTTCAAGCATGTTGTGAAGTATTGGGGCATCCCGGTTAGCATCGTCAGCGATAGAGATGGCCGCTTCACCGGCAAGTTTTGGAGGGAGTTGTTCAAGATGATGGGCTCCGATCTGAACTTCTCCACGAGCTTTCATCCTCAAACGGATGGGCAAACCGAGCGGGTCAATGCTTTGGTGGAGGTCTACTTGCGGCATTATGTGAGTGCCAACCAGAAGGATTGGGTGAAGCTCTTGGATGTAGCCCAATTCTCCTACAACTTGCATCGAAGTGAAGCCACGAGCATGAGCCCGTTCGAGTTGGCGACTGGCCAGCAGCCGTTGACACCTAATACGGTGACGACGGGGTACAAGGGCAATAGCCCTTCTGCCTACAAGTTTGCACGAGGATGGCACGAGAAGATGGAGTTGGCGAAGTCTTATCTCGCTCGAGCAACAAAGAAGATGAAGAAGTGGGCGGATAAGAAGCGGCGTCACTTGGAATTCGAGGAGGGAGACTTGGTGATGGTGAAGTTCTTCCCTCATCGATTCAAGCACCTTAAAAACGTGCACAAGGGGCTGCTGCGACGATATGAAGGGCCATTTCCGATTTTGAAGCGAATTGGCACGGTGGCGTACAAAGTGGAGCTGCCACCGCACTTGGAGATTCACCCCGTCTTCCATGTGAGTCAATTGAAGGCATATCATGAAGACAAGGAAGACGGAGCACGGAAGGAGTCAGCGAGAGCACCAACACTCGTCACTACAACGCATGAGCACGAAGTGGAGGAGATCTTGGCTCATCGTGTTGTGCCTAGGCGTGGTGTTCATCCAAGCTACGCGGAGTATCTCGTCAAGTGGAAGGGGCGGCCAGAAAGCGACATCACATGGGAGAAGGAGCTTTCGCTATGGCGTCACAAAGACTTGATCGAGGCATTTCATGCGGAGTCCGCGACGAGGGCGTCGCGAGATTGAGTGGGGGAGAATGTTACGCGGAAGATTCTAGAGCATTCTAGAACGATGCAAGTACGTGCATGCATCTTCCGATTCATGCACCTATGTACATGCATCCCCCTTTTTCTATCTTTATTCATGTATCTCATTAATTACATTCATGTATGGGGCTGGTTCATGTATGGGGGGACTATCTAGGTTCGTTCATTTATGACGGCCATGTACATTGTACTTAGTGGAGAGGATGCCTATATAAGCAGCCCTCTCCACCACTTTTCATTCATCCAGAAATTGAGAGATTTCCATCTATAGAGTTTTCTCTAACACTTGTGAGTTTGAGTGAATACGAGCAAGGCTGACTTAGCGCTCTAACGAGACTTGAGTGCTAAGTGCCGCACGGCCAAGAGTTGGTTCGTGCGCCAGCTGAATTACTTGGCAATGGCAAGTGCTTCTTATTAGTGCCATTACGCCTAACAATTACTGAACAAATACCCAACACTTGGACATTCAGAGTATCGTGATTCGGCACAACCCCCCAATTCCCAGAAAACATGGTCACGCTTTTGGTGGCTACGACCAGAGATCCGGCGTCGATCAACCCGGCAAACGCCCTGCTAGCCATGCCGGATCCCTCCAATTGGGGGCCGGGCCCTTCGTTGAGCGACGAAATTCAGAGCTTCAGGTTCGGCGACGTCAGGCTGCTCCGTCACGGCAAAAGCATCGTGGAGGAGGATGATCTGGACCTCCGGTGGCAGGACGCCACTGGCGAGGCCGTCGACGAGGTCATCTTCTTCAGCAAACACACCGCCGTCTCCAATCGCCCCGCCCTCACCATTCACCCAATTGGTAGCTTTATTTTATAAAGATCAATTTTTCTCCTTACGACTGAACAAAAATGGACCAATTATGAATTGAATTCCTTCTTTTGATTGTATGTAGGGGTGCCGCATTTGGCAGAAGGTGATGTTCCGCCGCAGGGCGGGAAGCCGGGGTGGGCGGCGCCGCCTGATCCGAGGATGGGACCTTGGCTGAGACTGCTAAAGAGAATCGCCGAGTCTCGTAATCTGCTGCCTGAATTCGAGGTGATTTGAATGAGACTGCTTCCTTTTTGTTTTCTTTTCTACATTCTGTGGGTGAATTGCGTTTGAAGAGTTCGATTCCTTCTTTGTTGATTTAGGTTACTTTGGAAGCTACCCATCATGGGCCAATAACCAGTAAGCCAACCATGTTCGTTGAAATTGGTAAAAGCTCTTTTCTTCTCCATCGCCATTTTGATTCTGCAATTTGTCTCTTTGCTTATCAAGAACGTTTGGAAACTGTAGGCAGTACAGAAGAGTACTGGAAGAGACAGGATGCTGCAGAAGCCATTGCTCAAGTTAGTTACTTTCCTCTGCAATTCTCTATGTCAATTATCAATGTAGTACCATCTCACTAGTGAGCAAGTTACTGGCTTTCTTTCGGAAGTATGTTACCTGCTGATAGTTCTTGTTGTTATTTGTGCTGCTTCTTAAGTTAGTTTTTGAAGGGCTCGGACTTGGATCAGGTGCTGCAGTAGGAACCTGGAACATGTAAAACCGTTCTTTCGTCTAATAAATGATTGAACACCATTGATATCTACTGTTGTAGTAGGTGTTTTACCCTCCTGTGGGATTCTTTTTTGCATTATTCAGTGACCACAACAAGAACAAAAGGGTACTTCTTGGAGTAGGTGGTGGACATTATGCACCTCGACATATGGACATAGTTATGTATGTATCCAGTCCTTCAGGAGCTTAACTGGTTCTTCTTGTTTGTGTAGACACCTCTGAATTATGATTCGCTCCTTGATTTCCTAGAAACACTGCTTGTTTTTTGTTTGTTTGTGGAACTCTCCAGGAAAGGCGATGTCTGGGTGGCTCACCTGCTCTCCGGGTATGCTCTACCCATGGAAGATCCAAACCAAAACAAAGGAGGAGGAGCAAGCACGAAAGACATTGGAGGCACCTGGAAACAGTCTATTAAAGCTGCATTTGAAGCTACTAGGTTAGCTTTCCCCGGTGGCGAAATTCTGGCCCATCTTGATCACAAGTAAGCCAGTCTTCTCTGCGCTCTTAAGAAAACCTTAATGGAAAAGCCAAAAGGGGTTTCTTTCACAGACTACAGGGAGACCAGCCCTAAGGTCTTGTTGAAGACTATTATTGCAAGCATCTACTAAAATATCGACCAAGTCAAATCGAATTGTTGCAGGAGTTTCAAGAGTTGGCAGAAGAATGCCATAACGGCATTCCTAGGAGAGCTGGACGTAAAAGTAGGGAAACCAAATGATTTTTGTTGATGCTGGACATGGTGAACAGAACATGCTACACATTGAGCTCCGGTGATGTAGAAGGCAAATACCGTTGCGTGTATCTCGACTACATTCGATAACCATCCAAAACCTATCTTTGTGTTTTTTACTCTGAATGGTGATTTAAGAGTCAGTTGAATTTGTTTCATTTGTACGATGAGCACATATATTAGGTCATCTTGACACACATATCCCTCACTTCTTCTTCTGTTGTCTCTGTGTGAACAGAATTAGGAATGTTGTATGCAGTCATCTATTTTTGGTCTCATGCTCAATAGTCAAATTTACAAATATTTTGTAAGCTGAAATCAACCCGCATAGCTAAGGTGTTGAGCTTACCGACTTGGCACTCATATAGTATTCTTCTCGCACGAGAGCCTTGCATTGCATCCTTTAGAAAGGAGCTTTCGTGAAATCAATGAGATTCCAAAATACTTTACACGGAAGCTTACAATCCTAGATCCAATGAAAGAGGTCACCACTCACGCGATGGGATTATAAGTAACGGTTGATAATAGAAGGGTATTTTTTTCTTCTTCTAATTTTGACTAATATTGGTCAAGATTGGCTTAGATTAGATAACACAATCACCTGGAGATAATATAATGGAAGGAACAAGTGAGATCGAAATAGTCAGAATAGTTTAACAATGGGATTCTCATGTCAACTTAGTTCTGATTTGGTTTGGTTAAGCGGACCTAAATTAAATTTGGGCCGGGCCTTATCCAGTCGTACAACTATTTGGGCCTGTTTCGGTTGCTTTCAGATCCAGCTAGTCTAGAAAGTTACCGTTGAAACCAGATCGGGTTCTCCGCGCTTCTCAACGGCTCGAATGAGTCAGAAAACCAGTTCAAAATTTCGCATATAAGGAACAGAGTATCAGACAATCCGCTCCCTTCCTTTCCCTCTCTCTACCCGTTCAAGAAACGAAAATCCTTCTCTCGCTCTTTCAGTCTTAACCTAAACCAACAACTTTGCACTTTCTTTAGCCGTCGGAGCAGAAGCTGTTAGCCTGAGAAATGCGACCTCAAGATCATCCGTCGCCGTTGCCGGGAAAGAAATTCGCTCCTTCGCCCAAAGGTCAGGGAACTTCGTCAATCTTTCTTTCCTCCTAGTCCTCCATTCTCGCTTTCTTCTTTTCCAAGATTTTCTGTTCCTGTTTGGCTCCCAAGAAAATTTCCCCAATATTGAATCTGCTCTTAACTCTGTGGTTGATTGTCTTCAATAGACGCCGACGAGAACTCGTTGATGTCGCCGCCGACGATTAAGCATTTCATGTCCCCAGCAGCTTCAAAGGTCAATTTGCGGAAGAGAATTTTAGGGGAACGAAGTGAATCTCCAGTCCGCTCCTTCAGAGGTCAGTAGCTAGAGAATTTTCTGCTCCGTTCAAATCTGCTTTGTGAAACTCGAATTTTCCACTATGTTGAATTTCTTGCTTCCGAGATCTCAAATCTTCTTCTTTGGGTGTAATTTGACTAATGTAATTCAGATGGCGATGAGAACTTGATGAACAATCAAGAAAAGGGTCGCCCAGATGCGGTGAATCTCAAGAAGCCCCAATTCGTGTCGCCGATGCTGAAATCTACCGCTTCAAAGGTCAATTCTTCAATTGCCGTTCCTTCTTCTCCAACACTGCTCAACTTGATGAAGGCCAACGAGGAAATCGGGGAAGAAACAGACGATTGGTCGCCATTTTCTTACGACCCAGTGAGGAATAATCTGGTCCCGAGGCCTCAATTTCTGCGCTACAGGCCAAACCGGCTTGTTTTGTTGGAGCCTTCGGCCAACGAAGAAACCGATTCAGAGACTGAAGATGAGGATTTTGGGAGTGATGATGAAGTCGATGAGGAGAACTCTGATGACACGGAGATGGCAGGAAGTTCAATTTTCAGAAGGGTTCTTCAATTCCTGCTTGTTCTGGCCGTTTTGGTACTCTCCACTGTTTACATTACTTCAATGAATGACAACCCAGTTGAGATTGATGGGATCCCTAACTTTGCTGCTGTCCACCGTCATGATCAAGAGATTAAGAGCTACCCAGTTGCATTTGTGTCAAGATTAGAGGTTAACGAAAGCTGGTTGTCGTTGGTTGAGGATGGAACACCATCACAGTTGAAGATAGTCAAGCCTCAAATTCCTCTTGATGAAGGTGACCAAGTGAAGCAGGTGATGGACAAAGAGATTGCAGAAGGTGAAGAAGTAGCTCTGGAGGAGGAGGGTCAAGAAGATGATGAAGAAGGAGAGTTGCTGTCATTTCAGCAACCACTTTTTCTTCCACTGCAGCCTGCTGCTGAAGCAGCTACAACGGTTCAAGTAGCACAAAGCTTAATTGATGGAACAGAAGGTGAAGAAGTAGCCCTGGAGGAGGAGGGTCAAGAAGATGAAGAGGAAGAAGAAGGAGAGTTGCTGTCATTTCAGCAACCACTTTTTCTTCCACTGCAGCCTGCTGCTGAAGCAGCAGCTACCACGGTTCAAGAAGCAGAAAGCTTAATTGATGCTTCAAAGGGAAGACTTGCTGATGAAATAGTTCACTACAGGGAAATTCAAGAGCCATATGATGATGGCGTGCTTAAAAATGGGAAGCCTCCAAGTCCCCGACTAACAACAACAGAAGTTGTAGAAGATGAAGAAAAATACGACTACATGGAACTGAACAAGAAGCTCACTTATGACTTCGATGTTGACAACAGGCCATTCCAGGGGCCTATCCTTGCGGTTATGGCAGTAGCTTCAACCTTGGTATTGGTCCTACTACTTTGCAGTTTAAAGAGGAAGGGGAAAAAGGCTGCAGCTCGGAATGACAGCTTGTTGCCAAGTAGTAGTCGTGATTCACAGCTCCCACCGCCACATTCTGAGGCCACATTGCCGCCTCCACAAGATCCCATCGATGAAATCCCAGAAACAACGTTTGCTCCCTTGAAATCCAGTGGAGCACCAAGAGTTGAGCTCCTTGGGGAGATTGAGGGGGGGATGGGGTCCAGAAGCATTGGCGGTGGAGGAACTCAGTTGAAGCCAGTGAAGAAAGCAGCACATGTTCAAACTCAACCAGCTACTTCTGCCTCAAGGAACTCCACCACCAACAAGAGTGACAGGAAAAGCACGAGCCCAAGCAGCTGGAAGAAGGAGGTGACAGTAATGGTAAGTGGATGTATATTTCACTCTGGTATTGTTGATTGGCTTAATATTCAATTTGATCTCGATAACTGAATTTGATGCTGTATGTTGAAGGGAGGAAAAGGGAAGGCAGCAAACAATTCAGCTGCTGCTGGCGGGACAACAACAACAACAACACCAACTACTGCTACTCCATTGAGGAGATCAAACAGACTTGCCAGCCGTGGTGGGATTACATCTCCTTGATCGGAAAAGGAGATGAGAGGAAAGCTTGTAACTTGAAACACCTGCCTCGATTGTTTCAGTGTCTTGATCAAGTAGCTTGCTTTGGATTAGTATTGTTAGTATTAGCTCTGAATTAATCAAATCCCCCCTGTGTGTTGTATGCTTTCCTGGGATGAGAGTAACTGGCTTGCTGTAACTTGCTTCTAGCCATAATACTGAATTCCTGATTCTTATATAAAAGGAAGTCTGTGTGTCAAGACTCAAGAGAAGTGGGAGATCTGATGTTTTTGATTCATATGCTTGCTCTACCATATTCATCTGATCGGTCCAATGATTAAACTTAAAGTTTTCTCCTTAAGACCTCCACATGATAATGGATCAAGAGGAGGTCTGCTGAGAAAACTACCCTTGATGTAATTGTGACTTGTAAAATGGTGATTGTGTACTTGGTAGAAAACTACTTGCAATGATGCAATCCGAACAAATTTTAAATTTCTAATAGTACAATAAGGAAAATAAGATGTACATGACATTAAATTTTATAAAAAATTGAGATATTGTAATAATATGTTGGATTTATGCTAGACAAATAATCATGGAAAAAACTCGATTATGTAAAGTTAAAAAGAAATTTCACTTAATGAGCTAATTCACTGTATTAGTGCTTCGAGGTACAAACTGAACTTGCATAATAACGTTAAAAGTACAAGTTCAGTTGTATTATAGAGAAATTTATACTTTTATATCATGGAACGTATCATAACATAATAGTATAAATTCAATTTGTATCATAAAGGAATTCGTACAAAAAAGTAGAAATATAAACTGAATTTGTACCATAACATTAAAAGTACAAGTCCAATTTGTACCATAACGGGTTTTTTATTTTATTTTTATAAATCAAAGTAACAATATTATAAAGCATTGTAAAATTCCTTCACTTAATAATGTAAATTGTAGTAAACTAAAAACTCAAATGTAAAGTTATGAATCTTATGATCGTAATGATAAGTAAATATATTTTAAGAAAACGTGTTAGATAAATAATTGAGCTTACAATCTAATACTGTAATTATGTGAATCTAAATAAACCACATGTGTAACAATTAAAATGTAAGAGTTGCCATAGGTGAAATACATATTAAATATATAAGATTTTCAATGACATAATGTAGTATTATGGGCAGTGTTTGCAAAACGGTACTTCCGGTGTGACTAGGAAAACATCATACTAAGAGGTTAGGTGAGGTTTAGCGATATAAAACAGTTGAATTATGATTAAATAACGATTTTATTATAAAATATTCTATTATTAATTTTTTCGATACAATCAATTTAGTATTTTAGAATTTTCTACCACTTATTTATGGAGGTTCTCCATCAGAACCCATTTCATTCAGAATTTCCAATCTTATGAAGATTTGTTGGAAGGATATTTTTGTTATTAAACTATAAAAATCGTTAGGCTTCTAAATCACTAATATTATTTCGCAGAACAACATAAAATTACGACGAAAAAAGGCCAAGTTTCCCAAAATTGGCACCCATCCATTTTTCCGCCGATCGAAATAACTTTTGTGTTGTATTCAAATACTTATACACCTGATGCTACTAATTTACACTTTTCTAATAATTTACGGTTTAGGTATTTTGTATGTTATAATTCACACAATCACACCTTATGAGGTGAATTTATTTTGTGTGAAAACAATTTTTCAGATTTGCATAAGTTTTGTATTCAAATTTCCTACCAATGATTCCACCAAAAAAAAAAAAATTCCTACCAATGAAAGGAGGAGAATGACAAAGACTTTTTTTTAGGGTGGAAATAGTAGAGTCGGTGACACAAAGAATAACGTGATTGAGAAGAAGGATGAGGTCATAGATGGTGGAGATAGTATAGTTGATGGTGAAGATAATTACGTTGTTAATGGTTGCGCAAAGAAGCTAAATTTTTCCCAAATGTGTGACAACACGTAGTGAAGTGAAATGTGGTTTTATTAGGTTTCTTAAAAGCAGGTTTCCATACTTGAGCCCTGGTTTTTAATATTAATGACTTTCATAGATGACTCGGTTTGGTTGTTGGAGAACTCTATCTTATGTTCTTTCTATCAGTACGTAGTGAAATGAACTGTGGTTTTATTAGGTTTCTTAAAATTCGGTTTTCTTACTTGAGCCCTTGTTTTTAATATTAATGTCTTTCATAGATGACACGGTTTGGTTGTTAGAGAACTCTATCTTATGTTCTTTCTTCCAGTAATTGTATAATTCATATTCTTTTATGGTCCTAGATAATAAAATATCTTATAATATTATTTATTTTATATTACCAACGTAAACATAAAAGAATGTAACTTTGGGAGAAAATTTCATCATCACAAAACATATTAATTATAGAAATTTGACACTTTAATAATAATTATCATTCAAATTCCAACACATCTACCAGGTCAGACAATACTAAATGGAGTCTAAAAGAAAATCCGTAATGATTTTAAACAACGAGTAGTAAAATAAAGTGTAGCTAGATAAATTTGTAGGAATTGACTGTTTTGAACCTTCACATCAACTTTCGTTGATTAATACATTAGATTGTTGAAAAAATTTATGATATATGTTCATTTTTATATTTCATTAATTCAATAAATTTATATGCTACTAATAAAAATATATATTACTTCGTACAATTTTTATTGTTGTTTATATCATTAATAAAATGCATGCGACCAATGGGCAGACCTAAATCTAGTTCTAATCATTCAAACCACACCCAACCACAAACTTTCGGTTTTCATAAAACTGAAATATTATCCTTGTCAACAAAAATATATTTTTTCTTTTTTTCTCTAAGATAAAAAAATTGCCTTTTGTAAAAAAACGTTAAAAATGTATATTCCAATACATGGGCCCAATTATCCATAATATATATATGGGCCCAAACTGCAGCAGTCTCACACGGGCCCAAGTATGGTTGTTTGATTGTTTAAGATAGAAACGATGTAGCCAAGCTCGGATTTGTTCACTTTTCGGCTGGGCTGCACTAGGTGGACTGATCGTCCTAACCGTGGTCAGAGGCTCATAAACTTTCTTGGAAAAGGATGATTGATGTGAAGAACATATATCACTTGTACTACCTTAATTATCATGACTTCTCAAGTATATATTGTAGGGGATTTTCTTTCGTAGCTCTACAAATGAGTTGAGTTGTTGACGAGTAATTAGACATTTGGTTTCAGAAAAAATTTGTTCAAAATTTGACTTGTTTACTAACAAACTGAATTGAGTTAAGTTATGTTCAACATGTGAGGCTTGCAAGTCAGGTCAACTCGGTGATTTGTTGAGTTCAACTTGTCAGTTGTTTTATTTTGAGTTCATTGATGTCTCGACATTGTGCCAAACGTGACAACTCGATTGGTGGGCTTGTTGATAATTTATAGGTTTGTTATATTATTATATTTTACCCCTATAATGTTTAAGACGTTTGAGTAAGTGAGCAAACATGAGATTAGTTAAAGGATGAAATTTGACTATTATTCCTTTTTAATCTTGACTTCAATCATATGTATCGTACATGACATATGAAGATTATGGTATTTAATTCATCAATTATTTAGAGTTTATTTTATTTTTGGATAAGGGTGATATATATATTTTTATGTAGTTATTACTTACGAGATTCGAACTAAAGACTTTCAGGTTTAAGACTAGTGGTATTACCACCAGAGCAAGTTCTTGTTAGTATTTTAGAGTTTAATTTAAGCGTTTAACTATTTAGAATAAATTGGTTGAGCTCAAGTTGAACTCATGATCTTATTGACGAGACGACCTATAGTAGAGTGCAATGGTATAATCCTGGTACCACATCGGAAATACAAGGGAAGACATCATTGTATTTTAGTATCCACAAAGCCAATTAGTACGAAGTCTTTTGATGAAGATACCAAAAAGTAAAAATCCGTGCGGGTTTGGCCCAAAGCGAACAATACGTACTAATGGAACGACCTGTTTTGGACAAGTAGTATCAGAGCTTGGTTTGGTTTGATGCAAGGTGGTGGACGTCAGTTTGATGAACCCTCATTCGGTGACCTCAAGATTCGAGATCAGCATTTGTTTGGCGATCAAGATAATCGCCAAGGTGAGGTACAAAGTTTGTGGTACTTGTCTTGAGGAGAGAATTGTTATAGTACAATCCAAGTACCACATCAAAAATACAAGGGAAAGTACCCTTCTATATTATTGTCTACCAAACTCAATTAGTACTAGACCTCTTGAGAAGTAATGCAAGAGTAAATCCTTACAAACTTGGCTCAAAGCAAACAATATTGTACTAATAGAGCTATCCGGTCTCAAGCTCGTGAGCAAACAAGAGCTTAGATTTTAGTAAATGAGCTTAGTTTAGCTTGACTCGACTCGTTACATTAATAAAGGAGTCGAGCTCGAGTTACACTCGTTTGTTAACGAGCCGAGCTAGGCAGATCTCATTTTCATCCCTACTTATGACAAGAACTTGAACTTTTGTCAAAACATAATAATTGTCACACCAACACTCGAAATGAAACATATTTGTGGCCTGAATATTCTTAATTTAGATAACCAGTATATAAAGAAAACTACAATAAGGTGAAGATAATTTTTTTTTTTTTTTTTTTTTTTTTTTTTTGCAGATGGGGACTCTTATGTACCATAGTACCATTACTTGGTTGCTATAATATTTGGTACCACTAGACCTACAATTTCATAGAGGAATGAGCCCTCGTCACATGTGATCGGATTAGGAGTGCCAATTGATTCGGTTTCGATTAACCATAAACTGATTTGACCGTTAGCCGTTGCTCACTAAGTAAAAAATGCATTACGATCGAACCAATAAAACTTATTAAAATCTTAGCATTATTTATGAGGTTATCTATCCGTCTAGAATGAGGATTCGGTAAAAATTCACTAATGACATAAACGTCGACTTATAACGGTCTCATTATTATTTTATACCTGCAATTCAATCGACACTGCCTAGTTCCTACGCAAAAAGATTTGGTTTGCTTTATAGGTAGGGTGATACCTGACCTCAAATCAAAGTACGGATGAATTACCAAGTGGGTGATGACTTTGGTGATTTCTTCATTTTATAAATGACAAATTAGCAATCAAATAAGCAACACGGATGGATCGAAGAATCGATGATGGTGGCCGTCAGCAGTCGGCACCGCCAAGCTTCGTCACACCAAGTTGCCTGTTCAATTAATCAATCAAATACGGTTGTTTATTGCATTACAATATTTATACTGGAAGCTAAGCAAAGTCATGCCTTTTGGCAAGGAATTGGATTAGTTGCTAACCTCTAATTGGGTTAGCATCATACTAATATTTTTTTAGTTGTTAGATTAAAATAGCAATTCAAAGATTATAATTAATTGACGGCTATTTTTGTTAATTATTTAATGAATTTTTCTGAACTCTAATTATAAAAAATCACTCATAAGAC